CTCTACCGGATACAATTAAACAAGTTTATAAAATTTTAATGATTCTACAAGATTTTACCTTACTAGAGGAATTGAAAAAGTGACAATTTAATTTATTTATACCTGTGATAAAATCCGATCACAAAAATTTCAAAGTTGCAGAAATTGAAACTTTATTAGATCTAATACAAAGACGAGCTACACACAGCTTTACTCTAACCGAATAAAACTGCTGAAAGACTTCTAGATAGAACAACTAGATAATCTAATGTCTCCTACTTTTATACCCTCCGTAGCCTTCGCAGCTACAATCAGCAAAGCAGCATTCTGCCATATTTTATACATATTTAGCTTATTATTAGTCACAATATTTTACAGCGAACCATCATTAATCAAGTATAGAAATGATTGCAGTATTTTTATAGACATTATTCCTACCACTCACTGTACAATAAACTAGCATATGCCGGTATATGATTTACGATTCTATTTCTACCCCTAACCTTATTAGTAGCTCAACACCTTACTATATATATTCATCTGTATTCTAGCATAGAGTCAATCCTTACAGTCTATAATTATGGGCTACCAAATATATCATAAAATAAATATAGGAAAGACACTACCGTATATCATACTAAATATGGCTAATAGTCTACAATCACAATACTAAGCTACTTTACAATAACATACGTAATTCTAGTTTTACTGTCTACTTATTTAACTGAAAGCAAAATAACAATATAAACTAGTAGAAATTTTTAAATCTCTACTGTAGATATCTTTGAAATACTTATTATTTGACAACTTTATTTTTTTGGTGAGAGATGATTTATGAAATAGTATATAAGCAAAGGACGTGATGAAAGTTAGAACCAATTTTACAGTTGGACCTGGACATGGGTATGAATAAGAAATTCATTTGGCAATTTCGAACTACGCATCGGTACTAGATTATTTGGATTCCATAATTTTTGAGGGTATCAAAACTTGTATTAAATTTAGCCATCATGATAAGTTGGGTTTTTGAATCAAAATTAGCGTATTCGGATTAAATCTAATAAGTTGAAATTACATTAGCAATGCTTACGATGTGCTTCCTACTTTTTCATCTTAGCTTATGAATTTTAATAGTAGCTATAGATATCAATAATCAACATTACAATTAATGGAAATCGGGAGTATTTATGCGTCAATATGTCGAATTATGGGGATGAAGCCTTGCCGTAAACAAGAGGCGCTGCAGTAGTTTATTTAAACGAAGCTAAATTGAATAACTACACGATGAAGCTTATTCTATTCAGCAACTACATTCATCTATGTTATTAATAAATGGATAAGACACCTTAACAACTTTTTGATAACGTATTATAGTAACTATCAGTAATAAAATCTAATAATGAATTACACTAATTTCTTCAGTCTAGCACAGCGTCGAATATTGCAATAATTCAACCTGTTGTACAAAATAAGCCTTTAAAAGATTGAAAGATTTTATTTTGCTATTGCAAGCTTTAATTGAAGTATTCTGATTATTCAGTAAAATTTCACTATTCTTTTGACAAAGATACGAAAGAACAGGCTTATTAGTTTCAGAAAGCCGTAGATGTAAAATTAATTTACGAGTATATGAAAATGTAATAAGCTATAGTCTGCGATAAATTTCAGTGGAAACAAATATATTTATCAGCAGAATAGATTAAGACGAAAGATGCAGACATTAAATATCGTTAAGTTAAATCATATTCTTGTTTAATTAACAATATATGATAATGATAAAAGAAAATCCTAAACATGAGTAAGGTGTAGTAAAGGACGAAAGGTAGAGTCCTTTATAGCTTTTAGTATGTAACTAGTATTATTTTACTATAGAAAATACCTATAAAGTGATAGTGTCTTCAAGTTTTATCCTACCAAATCATCATGGCGCCGTCTTTTCTTTATCATTATTTTACAAGGTATTATATAGATTACTATAGAAGTAGCCCTTGAGCAATCGCCTAATCTAAAGAAAGAGCGTTTGATAGTCCATTCAAATTGTAAATGAATTTGACTTAGTAACAAAACTCTATCCATAGAGAAAGAGGATTTATAACATGATAGTAAAGTACCGTAATGTAGTCTATAATCGTACAGTTAACGTACAACTTGACGCTAAAATATCAACTGCCAATACTAAGCGATACTAATGTCAGAAAAGTAGTCGTAGTAGTCATATAAAATTTCTTGACAAGCGATTACTGTGATCTTTGTAAAATCCGGATTTTTCGGATTCGGATTCCGGAACCGGTCGAATTTATCTGTTATAATTTTTTTGTATTAATTTATTTGTTATAATTTTTCTGTTTTAAGTTTTGGATTTTAGTTTATGGAAAATATCGTAAGGGTTGATTTTTGAAATTTGAACTTTTTGTTATGAATTTGAAACTTTGGAATTTTATGACGTGACATGAAAGTCACATTAGGAAAGTTTAGTTAGGAAATTAGAAAATAAGACGGCAGTTGGCAGAGGTTGTGCTGATTGTTAAGTAGTTAGACTGTTATTTTTACGACTAAATCTTGGTGCTTAAAGGTTAATTTTTAGACTTTTATAATGTATCAATGATAGAAATTATGTTAGAAGTGAAGTTTGATGTATTTTATAGTTAACTTGTTGCCCTTATAGTGTTTTGTAATTAAGGGAATCATAGGGTAAATTGTGTCTGAACTTTGAATGATTTTTGTTTTCTTAAACGGTGCTAAGTAGTTTTCTAAAATGGATCTTAAGAACGATTGGTTAGTAAATGTTTAATTTTAAATACCTCTGACGGCTCTACGAAGCTGCGATATAAATGATAGTGCAATTAGAAAATTTAGAGGGAGAGTAGAAGAAGATTCTTTTGAAGAACTTGTTGAATTTTAAAAGCCTTCGGGGTCGAATTATCATAAGTTAAAACGTTCTTCTTTTTGATAGTTTGTTTGGTTGTTGACAGTCTTTAAGTCTGTCACTTATTTTAGTAATACTTAAAGTTATGTATTTGTAAGGCTGTTCGGTTTATACTTCTCTATTTATTTTCTTATAAATTGCTGTTCAATTGTTTCCTCAAATTTTATTTGGTGTTAAAGTTTTTTTTAAGTCGACCGGAGTGCAACGAAAGTAGAATCAAAGTTTATTAAAGTTTTGCAGCTTGATCTCTACACTTTTCATTTCATTACAAAGGTCATATATTTTTCTCTTTTAATTTGAAACATAACACGAGGCTACAAGAATTTCGAAATTTGTATACCGGTATCATCAGATACTACTGCCTTTGGTTTTTATTGACTACGCGTACACTATACATAAATGTCAACGAAACCACAGGTCGATCTCATTTAATCATAAGATCAAGTATTTCAGTAAATACGCTATAAGTACTCGTTTTTAACAAATTTATCAATAATATGCACAAAATGATATTTCGGAATCATTAATGCTAGCCGGGGTAATAAATAGTAGTTATTTTAGTATGTAATACATATTTTAGGGTTACTGTATATTAGATTTGATGGAAGCTATTAATTGTTGTTAAAACTATGTTTATAAACATACGTACTAGTTATATGCTAAACTAGGTTATTAAAGTAAGAGACAAGATTAAACTGAAATTAAGAAGCTAAGGTGTTAAAGCGTTTAATATTTTTAAAATATGTGATTAGGTTAAGACCAATTATATCCATAATATCATATCCCCTGAGCTATTCTTTTTAAAAAAACTTGGTACAAGATAAATTAGTTCCATTATTAAATCTAAAAATTTGTAGTATAGCAGGAGCTTAAAACAAATCTTAATACAGAACGGAAGCTTACTTGAGCAAGCAACTAATATTCAGTTTGTTGGTTTACGAGTAGTTCAGTGATTTAAGAGATGCGCATTAGGAAAATAATGCCATTACAGCTGGCGGATTTCTAAATTATAGTATCTCCACAGTGGTATTGCGTTTACTCTAAGATCAAAACAAAATCAAATTCTAGTTCATTACCAAAAAAGGAAAGTAGATTACTTTTTTAATAACTAAAATTCAACGATAGAATTCGATAATATGATTACAAATTTACTAATCGTTATTAATTACCGGATAAATTCTGGTCATTTGGATACCATCATCTATTGACAGAAGATAATCAAGATGAAAAGCAGCAATTTGCATATAATAGATCTTATTTAAGATGAAACGATTCTAGACTATCACTATTGGTAGTTAATATACTAAATATCAAGGAATGATATATTTCGAATACATGAATTACTTTGCTTCTTAGTACTTATTACTGTTATCCTATTCGAAACTCATTCTTAGTATTTAATGCTTTGTTCCCTATTGATTTTAATTTGGGATTACACAATATACCGAAGCATAAAAACTGAAATCTTGTAAAAATTTTGCATATAATTCAGAAAAGTAACGTCAGTTAGAATGATTACCGCAGGTAGCATCATTATCTTTTCTTGGGAATCATTTACAATTTTGACATTATGATCACTATCTAGTATCTGCATTCTATCTTAAATTTTTTAATTACGGTAATAATCAAGAGCACGAATTAATTTAGAATAATAAAGCCATCAAAATAAGCGTATGAACCTTCATAAATTAAATTGCGGTTTGAATCTAGATCCTCTGTTACATCGAATTCTCTCACATTAGATGTTATCTTCACCTATAATTATTATGTAAAAATTGTTCATATATTATGAGGCATTACCTTAGCGATATTATATCGACAAATTATATGAATTAATGTTAGAAATACTGATATTGTTGCTATGAGAACAGTTATATTAACTGACTTTATGATACTGTGACAAATTAAAATTAATAAAAATATTTAAGGAAAATTATACCTTCGGATGATTGCGGTTCGATGTACTAAGAGCAATGCTTTGAGAGCCACTAGATGAATGAAGGCCTACTCTACGCATAAGATAGAGTCTCACCTAATTTGATGGAAATGATCGTCGTATAACGTTTTTGAATTTAGTTAGATACAATAATCAAACTTAAATGGTAATGTTAATATGGCGAATTTTTTTATAAGGAATAGGTATATCTAATGCTATAACCATGATACATACTTCAGAGTTATATAAGCAGTGGAATGAAAAAAAGAAGCAACCCTGTACAACGATGAAGGAATCATTAGTTACTAGTTACGATACTTATTTGATGAAAATGTATATCAAAGTCAAAGTTAAATTATGTTCTCTAAATCAAGATGATAGTTAGTAAGCTATAAGAATTGAGAAAGGTGAAAATTATCATTATAATAAACCTGTAAACCATTTAATATTACAAAGATATAAGTGAATGCAACGGTATGACTGTCCATTGAGAAAATACCAAATATCCAAGTTAAGCCGAGGATAGGTAATAAAATAATAGTAGCCTTCACGATGGATCTAATAATAAATTTATTTTTTCGGAAGAGAGCGGTTAAAATTACATAAAAAGTAAATTGAATCAATTTAAAATACAGTATAGGCATAGTAAGTACAGTTATCCACTACATCAGTATCAAAAGTTTTTGATCTACATAAATTGATTTTACTGTACTTGATTTTTTTTACGCTATAAAATTGTCGACTAGCAGGATAGACTCCGGATTTGTTGGCGGTAACTCGGATCACGAGAATCATTACCAGAAAATTTACCTGAGGGTTAGAATAATTCAGTAAAATTAAAATTTGTATTTCGTCTTTAAGACAGGAAGCAGATAAGCGTCCCGGCTAATATCAATGTGATATATACCAATCACGAGATTCAAATTTTAGAAAAATAAGGGCTTTATTGAATCTTATACAAAGATTAAGTACACACAGCTCTACTTTAGCCGAATACTACTACTAAAGACTTCTACAACGAACTAACAGAATAATCTAAAGTTGCATGCTTTTATACTTTTTGTAGCATTCGCAGCCACAATCCGTATGGTAACCTTTTACCTTATTTGACACATATTTAAATTATTCTTAGTAAGACTATTCTACTGCGGACCATCATTAATCCAGTATGGATACGACTACAGTACTTACGTAGACATTATTCACATCAGCCAAAGTACAATGAATTAACCATATCCTAATATATGATTTACAGTTCTATTTTTACCTATAGCCTTATTCGTAACTCAACACCTTACTGTATATAGTCATCTGTACTCTAGCATAGAGTCTCTACCACTACAGTCTATACAGTCTATAGTTATGGCTACCAAATATCTCTTAGGATAAATATCTACCGTACATTATACTAAACATGGCTAATAGTCTACTATCACAATACTAGTTACATTACAATCAGGTAATATAATTTGGTCCATATTGAATAACAGAAGCTCTACTGGATTAAATTTATTTTCATATCCCTCAAGATGAACTAGTAAAACCTATCCATGCATCGGAATAAGCAATCGCAGACTTGAACTAATAATTAATCTACCGTTTAACAAATTTTTCTCTTGGCAATATGATCTAATTCTCTGATTTATTAAGTTGAATTTAAGCAAGATTGATAAGTTGAAACAATACCCAGTTTATTTATTTTCATAGAATACTTAATATATCTGTATAAGCATAACTAAAAGAAAATTTGGGAAATTATTTCAAAATAGGATAGATTGAGGATATCATGAATAACAGCGATAAAATTGATTACCGTAACTAAGCATTATGCTCATGTAAAATAAATTAACTTACCAAGATGACAAATAAAGCTGGTCCTGTAAATGCCCAAATGAATCCACTGCTAACTGATAGCCAACACCTTGATTAAAGAACATGATCATTTATTGATTTGAAGGGAATGGTTATGATTATTTACTACATTGTCGCAAAATTAAAGCGAATGCACTCTAATTATATACTAACGACTACTACACTTAAAGTAGCAGTTTAAAGAAATCAATTAATTTAGCTACGAGTCGCAACTTTCGAAGAATGAAATTACTAGTAGCCCACTTGTAAAGTAACTTAGTATTGTGATAGTAGACTATTAGCCATATTTACTATGATGTTAGGTTATATCTTTCCTATATTTATTTTATGATATATTTAGTAGCCTATGATTATAGACTGTAGGGATAGACTCTATGCTAGAATACAGATGAATATATATAGTAAGGTGTTAAGCTACTAATAAGGTTAGGGGTAGAAATAGAATCGTAAATCATATATTAGGATATGCTTCCTTCATTATACTTTGAGTGGTAGGAATAATTTCTATGAAAATACTGTAATCATTTCTATACTGGATTAATGATGGTTCGCTGTAAAATATTGTGGCTAACAATAAGCTGAATATGTTTAAAATATGGCAGAATGCTGCTATACTGATTGTAGCTGCGAAGGCTACGGAGGGTATAAAAAGCAGGAGACACTAGATTATCTAGTTGTTCTATCTAGAATCTTTCATTAGATTATCTAGTTGTTCTATCTAGAAATCTTTCTGCAGTTGTATTCGGTTAGAGTAAAGCTGTGTGCAGCTTGTCTTTGTATTAGATCTAATAAAGTTTTAATTTTCTACAACTTTGAAATTTTCGTGATCGGATTATATTACACTACTACTTAAGCTCATTCCACGAAGCATATCACAATCCTGTTCTAAGTTGAGTATGAGCTGCGAGAAAGAACTAACTTGCATCCCCAAACTATTTTCTTGTATATACATTCATAGCATGCAGAGTCATCGTATAGCTTTAAAAGTAGCAGATCGGACTGTTACTACATCTGGAACGATTGCTAATAATATCTTCGATCCAACATATTAGCTACCTTAAATGCTGCCAAATGCTTTAAATAAACATTCAAACTACTCTTATTCTAATTAATTGTTAGGACAACGCTTATATTATTTTAGAGTATTACGCAAGGATTTCTTATAACAAATTAATGATTGCAAAATAAAAAATAGGTTATAATTAAACGGTAGCTATCGTACTTTACTTTATTGAAAAGCCATACAGCATGACAACGTCTATAATATTTGAAAATATTTCTAATATCTGTCGGATTAAATGATTTAAAGTACGATCAAGTTAGCGGAAACTATTAGCGGGTAAATCGATCGTATAACTGTAGCATTATTTACATCACACTATGATTCTTTGAATTATTGTAGGCTAGAAATCAAATTTAACTCGTGCGAATTTGATCTTATCCAACATTACCTATAATTCATATTATACATAATTTTACTAATGATGTACGATTAGCAAAGCTGACTTACAATTTATTTAGGCCATATTTGTCAAATCCTATACCAACTGTTATACTAACGGTTATAATTGGAAAACCTACAGTATGTAGCATTAATATCAAACTTCAATATAAAGTGACTTAAGGCTAGAATCTTTATAAAAAACATTCAGTGATAAAGCAAGAATAATGAATATATCTGAAGATTGATTTACCCCATCCCATGATATAATATAATTTTCGCTTGGAGTTTGTATTGAAAACCGTTATAACTTTCAAGTAAAGGTGAATACCTTCAGTAAGCATCCATGAGAACATCGACAACAAAAACATATGCAGCGCTATAGCTAAGATTTTGCAGAATATCTAAAAGAAAGCCAAATACCTAGCTTAGTTTTATACTAAGTGTAATAAACATTAATGAAAGAAGCGGCTATAATTTTACTTAGAAATTCATGTATCTAAAAAATTTTAATTTCTTAACTGGCTATTATTCCAAAAATTATTTAGGGATCATTCAGGAAAGTAGGCAGTATTAAAAATGAAATTTCCAAGCTATTAGCTGAAGTAGATATATATATTGTTACATCATTACACTTACATCATTGTTTTTAATAATGCTAGCACCGGTCAAAACAATTGCAATTTGAGATAGCAACATCGCCAGAGCCAGGTTAATATGAATTTCATGATGATCAGACATGGTACTAACAGATTGATTTATGAAATCAGGTAAATTACGTTAAGAATCCGCAATATTAAACATTTTTTAGTAACTTCTATCAATTTTAACAGAAAAGTTAAACAAATGGCTGATTACAACCTAGGTAAAAAGTAAATTTTTAAGACTCTACTAGAAATTATTACTAGTGAGTGTATAACGTAACACTATTAACATAACATATATATGAATCAAGCCTAGTCTGCTTTATTAAATAATTCTAATTCGTGTTCTTTATTAATGAATATGATATCCTGGTATATGAAAGTATTGTAATCTAAGAACATCCTTCAAAGCATTTTTTAAATCTATGTATGAATACAATTTTATTTTACGGCTAATACAATCATAATATCATAATGTCTTAATATAGTGGTGCTACTGCATTCAATCATGTATTTATCTTAAATCAAAATAACTGTATTACAATTTTTCTCAATAAATTTGTATTTTGTTATTCTATTTTTGCCTACCGAACCATAGATAGGATAATGATAGACAAAAACAATGCGATAATTGAAGTACCAGAGCAGATATATGTTAGTATATCCAAATTAACTAAATGTTCTTGAGAAATCTTACAGAATAAAGAAAATAGAATAGATCAATAGCTTAGAGAAATGTACAGTAATTGATATCATAATGGTAATGTGGCAAAGAAACATAATGTAAAGCTCGCTGAAAATAGTCCTGACTATATGATAGCATAGAGTAACATAAATTCAAGTTTCATTGCCAAGATGAAAAAATTGAGATTTAATTTATATTATATCTGAAACTTGAATTAGAATTAAAGTAGTATGATTTTTCTACGGCCTACACTTCAAATCGACTTATTAAAAGTAAATTTACTATAGATAACATAAAATGATGTTTATAAATCTCTATAAAGCCTCTGTTGTTAATTAATTCCTTTCTTAGATAATCGACCTAATATATTTTATTCCAATCTTCTACTGTTGTAAACTACTAACCTCAGCTTTTGTAATGCGCATTAATATTGCAAAGTGCGTTAAATGATTACATTGACAATGTGTATGTGTTTGGTTCCAATAGACAACGCTACAACCACGATCTGACCAATTTCCAGAGCTAGGATTTGAATACGTAATATTGCAAATATACCAGTAAGAAATTTATCAAGAAATGCTTGCTTGATTACCTCGCATATTACTGTATCTGATTTCGATTTACCTCTCGGAATTGGCAGCAAATTCCCAAAATACGCATGTTGGTTGATAAGCTGAAGTAAAATTGGCCTAATTCAAAGTATATTTTAATAGTGGTCTAAGCACATATAACTGAACGTTAAAAGATATTAACATCCGATTACAATTACAATTTCTACTCTTTTTTCATACTACCTTATTAAGAAATAAGGTGAATGTAAAAGGATTGGAATCATTTAGCATCGGTTTCGGTGTTACGGTGCAACCCAAAATTGCGGAATTTAGATAAGAATCGGATAGTTGATTGGAGCTAAATAAACAGATTAATTTAATAGTGGTGTAAGAAAATGCAATATGGAATAGGAAATTGATATATTATATTTCGTACAGATCAAAAAGCAATACTAATTGTAGAAATTATGTTTACATTATAGTACAAACCCTTCTATATCTGCATTTGCTATTTGCTTGTTCATGATATATTGTAGGGATTTATATACGCTAACGGAGACGGCTACATTATCTAATCCATGATGCAATTAAGGATTTAGAAATGAAAATAATTTGGTTGAATTTAGTCACCTAATGCTCTAATATGGAAGTGTATTATAGGCAATTTAATTAACTGCGTCATTTATTGGCTCTTGTCACGATACAAACCACCTCGAAGAGTAAACGACTAAATTTAGTGGTTAATATTTATATATGGAGATAACTAATAATGGCTTACAGTAAGAACTACGGTAGTTAGTATTTTGTTAAAGTAAATTATGCTGTATTGTAGTAAGAGTTCTCATAAGATAACTAATGTTAATTAATTGTAGCGTTATATGTCTTGTAACGCTTGTGATGAATATCCTGAAGATATTCAATTATAGAGGATACTATGAATAATTCTGTGTATGGACATACTGTAACCTAATTATCTAGAATCGTTCAATACATATCTAAGATTGTGAATAGTTTCTGTATTAATTTAGCTATCCAATATGAACTAAATTTCATGAACTGTTAGGACTCATACATGATAGCAGCTACCGAAGGGTATTTAAGCTTGGCAGATAGTTGAATTAACCAGAGTTCTATAGTTGTTTAGCGTAAAAGCAAAGGTGTCTAAATACTTGTGGGATAGTTAAGGAATACTGAATCACGGAGACTACAATAATTTAGAGATCTATTTTACGTTAACTTTGTCATGAAGCTGGTTTGTGACAGCTCTAAATAATTCACGAACTAAGCAATATTGACTAGATGGAATTATCAGCTGCTTAATGAAAGGTTTACAAAATTAATACAAACGATTTACAAATAAAGTGACTAATTAATCGTGATAACGAAGGCTGGCAAGCGATAGAAGCCATTATATGTGATTCAACCGTGTAAAATTAAAATGAACTCTATTACTGTACATGGATAAGAGTGTATTTAAAATTGCAGCTTCTACATAAAATAAGATTTACTTATTCAAGTTTTATTTGATGAATGTAATCAAACTAGCATTCATGGAAGTAATAGAATTACTAGCTACTAAATTGTAATTTTACATATTGAGATCTTAAAAATTGAATTTTAAAAATTGTTGCGTAACTGGTAAAATAAATGTATGATAAAGATATTCCTCCTATCACATTATTATAGTCTGCAAAACTTCCTATTATTACTTTCAAATTCTTGGAGAATATTGTATTAAGAAAGACTGATTTAATACGGAAGCTTTACATTAAATAGTTACTCATTACCTGTTTCTGTGGCAAGATCAGATGGTGGTAATTTCAAGGAATATTTTATCATTGAATTAGGACCTGCGATTTCTGTCGCCTGCATAAAAAATCCGTGATTGATATATATGGATGATGATTCTTTGACAATATCCACATCTGTAGTCCAAAGAAGGGGAATCAAACAATTGCTACACCAGCAGACGATACGTACGCGTGTACTCATGATTCAAAATTTTTGAAATAAATTATGATTGATGCTCTGTAATATATTCTCTAAAACTATCAGTAGTATAACTAGTCGTATCAAAATTATGCGGTATTAATATTTTTATTCCACCATGAAATAGATTACTTTCCGATACTGAAAATTAAATGTCTTAATAAAACCACTGAAGAGCCGTCGGCTTACCTAGGTTAGGAGATTTGAATATAAACGACTGATTAACGGCTAAAACATGGCTAACAACTTTTGCGACTTGGTCCGTTGCGTTCAAAACATCTGCGGATATTGCAACTTTCTAAATTGAATATATTTGTATAATAGGACATTTATATTATTAATTTGATACTACTGAATAGTAGGGGAAAAGGCTATTACAAAAAGTTCAAGCGGGTGTAACCTAGGTCTTACAGCTATAATTCCAGAAGAAATTACACAATCAATTAGTTACAGCATTACTATCGGTAATTGTTTGCAATCTCATCTTATGATTCAAAATACCTAAATATAACTAAACGACTCAGTATTGCTGTAATTCCAAGCGAATATTTAAGCTAAGAATTATTATAGACCTAGTATTCATATCATCGATTAATTACTTTTTCTAACGAAGATGTATCAAAATCTTCAGATAAAATTAATGACTATTGTGACAGTAATAAAATTTCCTATTAACTTTAATGAAACCTAGCGTGTATAAATTGACTTTACAAATGGTATTATTTTACTACAGCAAATATAAGGCTCCATTGCGTCGTAAGCATTTAGAAAACTGAAAAATTTTAGCCTAGGTGTTGGACTAAATTAATGTTTAATAATATTATGTATTAAAGTCAACTGTTACTTCAGCATAGTAATCTAATAATTAGAATAATGTCTAATCAAAACGAAAATGATTTCTTCTAATATAGCTACGATCAAGTGTCTTAAAATCAGAAATGATCAAAATTTGATAATTTATAATGCTCGCTTTATTACACAAACTACTTCTCCAACCGAGAACAAGACTAATTATTTCTAAGAGATAAGATCTCCCACTTACATGTACATTCAACTATATTTGGATTTATAATTTCTGATAAATCTAACATCAAATCACTCACATAATCCCTGGTATCTAGCTAACTTAATAAGACATTCTTAACCAATGCTACAATATTTACTTTAGCTATTTATCACGGATACGAGCTTAAAATAATCTTAAGATTCTAGTTATTCTACAATCTCGCACATACAGTGTCAATCTTACAATTTTACGTATCACTTCGAGACTTTTTACAATCTATTGAGCTATTTCTGAGGCTGCACTGCAACAGTAGATGCTTACTTAATCGATAGTAGGATCATCGTGATAAAAAGATAGCCTTACCTTAATAGTTTCACGCCATGCATTCAGGTCATGCTTTGAAGTTAGAATGCTAAGAGTGCTAAAATAAACCTAAATAAGTGATAAAATGAATTCATTTATTAAAATAGATCTTCAACAACAGAAAATTAATATGTTAATAACGGTATATCCATGCATGTGCGCTCGTGTTTCATCGTTCTATTTAATGTGTGATAGCTTATTAATCTTTCTAAATAACTGGAAGGACTCAGAATCTTATTTGCTGTGCCAATAATACAAATTAGCATTCCGAAAGATTTATACTTGTCTACGTATGAACAGCATCGTAGCCTATTATCTTTATAGGTATTTATCGAATCTAATTCATTAAATTGAATGAAATATTTCAATAAAAGATTAAACAATTAATCTACCCTGTCTTACCAACAGTAAAGAATTCACCTTTTAAAAGCTATAATAATGTTTGAATGTACTCCTACACCACTATTATACTTAATCTACCGCATTGGCAAATTGCTAGTCCAGTTCATTTGTAACATTTGCAAAACATTAGGACAATCATCGATCGCACACTGAGATGGACAACAATGGTGTTAGAAATTAAGTAACTAATTCATTAATTAATAGATAATAAGCTAGTCTATAAAAAAATTTGCCAATTAATAAATTAAGCTGTTATAAGGCAAGAAGAATTTAGGTAAATAATTTACATAGGAAATAATCTGCTGCACCATAGAAAAAATATTTACGAAGTTCGAAGTAAAATTAGAGCATAAAGATAAAGATTGATTGACTAAATTTTATGACTTAGAACTAGATTCGCGTACTATATTGTTACTCTATTTTAACAAGCTTATACGAGCCTTTATTTTCATAAAATGCAGTTAAGTAGACATTTATCTTTGACTCAGTCAATCTAATTTCATTGTTATTAATAGAAATAGAACAGAGCAAGCTATAGTTAGCCCTAATACAGATAAAAAGCTAATTTTCCGATATGACCATAATTGTCAATGATACGCTGAGATCCGACTTTAGCACACTCCTATCGTTATAGACTACTACGGTATATTCAATTAAATTTTAGAGCTAATAAATGTCGCATGAGCATACTTTGTAACCATACTAGCATATACTCTAGCATTTCCCGTCAATAGTGCATGCATTTTTAACTTCATGGAAAGGCTACTCAATTTTTGCCAGTTATATACCAAGTAAAAACTGTAAATTGGAAACTGACCGATTCAGATGGTGTTTTTGCATCTTATCAGTAAGTATTTTCTAACTATCCACATCAATAAATAATTTAAAACTACAAATTATTTAAAAAAGTAATTCAAGATCACTATTGGATCAAATTTCGATTGCAAGTTGTTATTCTTTTACAGTAAAAATCTCTACAGATAAAATATTATAAGTGAAATCTCTTGATAGATTTTATTGAAACAATACAAATGGATAACTGATAAGTTAAAATACCTTGGCATAATCTGTTTGATTTACTGAGTCGTTTAGGTTGACTGGATGATTCAGCTTTAACAATGCTTCCCGTGCAATGATTAGATCATCTACATTAATAGTACTATTTGTTTTAAGAGCTTTTTGAAGATCAGTCAGTATAGTAATGCATTGCTTCCTTGTAAAGCTTGTCTGATTCTTGGAAATCTAATTGAAATAGAATTTATCAAGGAGAGATGCCTATAAGAAATCTAAAAGGCAATAGGAGCGATATTGTACTCAACCTGATTGTAAACATATAAAAATTCTGCGGAAATATTGCTTGTATAGGCAGCGACGGTTGTAGGCATATAGATCGCTCTAGTGAATAATTGATAGTTATAACACAATTACTGTGCTACCAAGAAATTAAGAAAACGATTATAGCTTCCTTTCAAATATCAAAAGTTAATACATCATTCTAGAACTCTCTGAAAAGAAGAAATATGGAAATCGATACAATATCGTACATTTGTGGGGATACATACTCAGTACTGGTAATGTTTGCTTGTGTAGGGACTGATGTTGTCAGTATGTTCACTGATGAGATTGGAACCGTAGGGCTACTTGAGGTATTTTGGCTTTGCAATAATTTACTGTTTATCGAAGACATGGAGTAGATACTTTTCTGCTTGATTGTAGATTCAGATATAAGCAATAAATTCGTAGAAGCAGCTTGCGATGTTCTGGCATAACTTAAATTTGTCGCACTAATGCTATCATTTGGATGGGTTGTAGCAGAGTATGTAGTTAATACGGCAACTTCTAAACTACTAACTTGGAAATGTGCAGTAGGTGTCAAAAACTCCGGTGCTCCATTTCTTTGACTGCTTTCAACAGGGAGTAAAATATCTCTGCTTCTATCGCTTGCAGAAGTAGGTGAAATGACTACAGTGGCATTAATATTAGCGTTAGTAGACTGTATAGAATCGAACATACTAATTTCACTATAGCCCGATGTCTCAACTACTACCCCATTGATGCCTAAAGAAGAATTTGATGAGCTTTTAATAGATATTGATGCCGTCCAACCTGTAACTACCTCCGAAGCCGATGTTTTTACACGTAATTCTAATGTACTTGCAACCTCATCAGAAATTGATATAGAGGTTATCGTAGTATTCGTTGTTGAACTAGAAATGGATACACTCATTCCATAAGTGCAATAAATCGACTCCGACCATGGTGATGCTTGAGTAATAAAGCTTGATAATGGAACGCTATTCAAAGGCGTTATGTAACCATCCATGCTTTCTTTGGTGAATAGGCTAGTTTCGAGCAATGATTGCATAACATTGGTTGGGGATAAGATTACGTTTGAAACCGTAAGAGAATTGCCAAGTATTTCCTCCGAAGATAGAATGGCATTAAAAAATGTCGTTGCACTCATCTTATGAGAAAAAGCTGAATCAATAATAATAGCAGATCCATATAAAGATGACTGAGTTAAATTCGGGGATGAGATGGAATAGTCGTATGTTAAGGAATCGTAGAGGGTTTCTTCACTTGATAAAGCGGTATCAAACCGTGTCGTTGTACTCGAATCATGTATTAACTCACTATCTGATGTTAATGTATAGATTTCCGTTAGTGCTGGAGTAGGACTATCTGATATTGATGGATATATTTCCGTTAGTATTGGAATAGAACTATCTGATGTTAATGTATAGATTTCCGTTAGTGCTGGAGTGGGACTATCTGATATTGATGGATATATTTCCGTCAGTGTTGGGGTAGAACTATCTGATGTTAATGTATAGATTTCCCTTAGTATTGGGGTAGGACTATCTGATGTTAATGTATAGGTTTCCGTTAGTGTTGGTGTAGGAAGCTGCGTATTACTGGTGCCTGAAATATGATTTTAGTCCTAATTAGATGTTGCAAACATATGTAAGTTACTTTGCAGAATCAATTTTTGATTAACGTGCAATCGTCTAGAGTTGAAAAAGGGCAACATTAAACTAGTAAATATGAAAGAACTTATGTCGCTACATGATAAGAATAATATAATTCATGCTTATCAAGAATAGAATTATACCGAAATAGCTCAGTTTCGAAATATAACATCTCTAAAATATCGTAATCAAGAATAGTAATCTAGCGATATTAAATGGTTAAAAGGGTTTAAGCATTTCCAAAATAGTTAGTATAAAAGGCTTAATAATTAATTAGTCAATCGTAATATCTTACTTGTAGGATGTGTTATTATTGAACTTGATAATGATGAAATTATGATATAGGTTGGATCTAAAAGAACAGGATAATTTAAGTAAACGTAGAATCTTAAATCGATACGAAACAAGTATAACCAAAACCCTCAATGAGAAAGTCTAAGTACGGTAAATATTTAGGGTTCAGAATGATGAAATTTTGTAATGCAGCCTATTAGGATGGTTTAAAGGTATTTTAATTTCCCTTAATCCGTCATTTGTAATTTTTTAGGTATGAAATGACTAGCAGGTAGATTTTTTTAGGTGATTTTTATATGTTTAGAATCTACAATTTGCAGGCATTTTGGCGATACGTATACTATTGCAGAGTGGTGCTCAACTTAAAAGCTACTTTGTCACCATCAATCGATACATATAGAATGGAAGCTATGGGTTTAATATCGAGTATTAAGATCCTGGTAGTAATATTTAGATGCTATGTAATAAACTCTAGCTCGTATTCGTATTTAATTACAGTTATCAATAAAAACCTACGTATAGCAATAAATCTATTTGGCCATTTGTTTCTTTTTATAAATAAGATATTATCATCCAAACTCTATACATTGCTATAAGAACCGGCTCCTACGTAGTTGTAAACATCATACGTTAGGCAGTACCATCCATTGATAAATAGATTGCATGGGTTTTGATAGCGAGTATAAGATTCCGGCAGTAATATTGTCACGGTGTTACTTTACCGTTAGGATAGTTTAATAAGTACAGTACTAGCTTATATGGAAAATTTTCATATTTGCAGTGCTAGGTAAGATAGGTGATGCCTTAACGTAGGTATTATTTGTGATAATTTATTACATATTTTATATTGATTGTTATTATGTGCAGATAGTAGTAAGATGATTCAAGTTCTAGCTATTGATAGTTGAATTGGACAACATACTTGCTTAGATTAAGATTAAGTATGAAAAAGAGAATAAAAATATTTACTGATAGGAAGCTATGTAAGGAACATCTCAGCTCGAGATGTCTCTCTTATTAAGGTACAATAATGATACTATTGCTATTTACAGATTAAACGGTTCCTATATAAACGGGAAAATTTGAGTTGAGTGGTATGGTGAAAAGTTGTAGATGTGTCTATGCTAATAAAAGTTCTATCTTTACGGTACTTCGCTGCGTATGTTTAACGTTTAGTAGAAGGGCCTTACGTCAGCAGTTGCTTATCGACGTTTAACATACGCTTCCTTGTCGCTGAGTTTAAATTGTTGACAACTATTTAGCTATACAGTGAACTGTAAATTGCAATTATTTTTTATTGCAATTATCAATAGTAGGCCATTTGCGACCACTAGATAATTCTGTTATCAGTCCTCCGACAATAGGTGTTTCCAATATATATTCGTCTACGCGTATTCCATTAACGCTTTAATTAAGATATTATGTACATTCTTTAAATGGATAATTTAATACTCTACAGTTATACAGACCGTTAAAATCGATTATGATTTCAATTTTGGGGTATTTTTAATAGCAACTTACATAGTTCGCATATTGTGCGTACTTTAGAGGTACAAGAGTGAGTTTTCCATTTCCAGTTGCCACTAACATATCCTATAATGACGCATCGATATCCGGCAACGTTCGGTTCGTTTGTTTCCCAATTTGTATAAGTTCCCGTAGTCTTATTCAAGTTCAGCCATACAAAGTCATTTGGGCCATTTAAGTTATGAGTGTCATATAAATTCAGCCAGTAAAGCTTATTATTCTGCACGCCAGAGGTAGCAGCAGCTAATCGTTCCGAAGAGTTTGGGGCAACTACCTTTCCGCCCAAGCCTGCACAAAAAATCTCGGCATTGGTAAATGTACGCGAGCCGTAATTTTGTATTCCGTAGCATAACCCTCCAAAGAATTCGTAGCCAGATGGACAGGTCGGCACACTTACAGCTAAAGAGGTTTAAAAAATAGAATTTAAACTAGTTCATATAAAAGTCATCATGATTTACCAATGTCAGCTGAATGATAGGTAATCGATCAAGTGATACCATACTATGCTATATCGAAATTCATGATTCATTTTTGTATTGAGAGATCATTGCTATGAATATAAATCATGTCTAAATAACTAGGTATGGATCCTAATTGGCTTAACAGCTGCAATATTTAAAAGTGATGTAAACTTTGATTGGAACAAACTCAAATTATGAGGAGGCAGCGATGCAATCACTAAGAGACCTGCAGAATAAAGCAAAAGCAGACTAGAAAATTAAAATAATGAACCATAAATATTTATAGTCCAACCATATAAATAGCTAAGAACCTTCTTGAATTCTAACTGGGGTAATAAATTAATTAACTCTAGTTACTTTATTGGCAACAGCAATATATTGGGCTACTACTATTATTAAAATGTATCTTAGCCGCTATTAACGAAATATGATAGCATTCTACCCAAACTGTCTAATTTGACTCGCAATACTTAATCATAGATAACTATTAATAAATAATACAAGCCATCGTGTGTACTGTTAAATAATTTTTATTCTGTACGAATACGGAGAATTTCCTGCGCCATCTACTTTGAATGGTACTAGCAAACTATGAAAAGCATAAATTGCATAAGGCCGCAGTTGCTGCTGTTTTTAACAAAAAAATTTAATTCTTTACGGCAATGGATAAAATCAATCTGCATAGCCTTCATGCGATTACAATAATCGGATATAATGCTTATTCAGATGACAAAATGTATCTATAAATGTGATAGTAAAAGAAGTAGTCATTCCTATCAATATACCTGCACGCGTTGAATAGCTTGACCATTTTGCTATACATATTGCTAAAAACTAAATTTAAATCAAATAAACACCAAATTAATACAAGTCAATTTACACTATCATTAAATGAGATACTCCATATTAGTATACAGTACAGCTGCTATGGCAATTCTTTCTACGAAATTTTAAAAGGACAAAGGTCATAAATTGATAGTCTTAAAAATTGTGGATTAAGTCTTAATGATTTTTTCATGTTATGAAAGCTAAATAGGGCTAATCCTCTATCTTGAAACATGAGAAGCGTAAAATATAAGATATCAACTTGTTATCAGAACCACCTTGAAAGAATTATTTTCTAATACATTTTATCGTGTTTATACATAGATCTTTTTCAATAATAAAGAGTGAGCAAAGTTTTAAATAGGTTCAAATAAAACGCATTTAATTTACAAGGTGTGATAACTTAAAAAGGCACTAATGAAACCTTGCCCTTCTTCCGTTCAGACGATTGTCTCGGACAATTTATAAAATTGTTCTTTAATTTCTATATCAGATAGGTATAACTTTTGACTTCCTTATGTTATTAATGTTGCCAACAGGCGGAATCTTAATAAAAGGATAATATTAATTTCAGCAACAACTAATATATAATACTGGTACTTTTTCGAAACATTTCTACTTTAAAGCAAGGTAGATTTGCTAGAAATCTCCAGGTAAGTGTTTTTTCTTTAACCTTTTCTATGCACTCACATACTGCAAATTGCATATCTAAGAGACTGTGCCTCTATAGTCAAACAGAATAAGTTAGAGTTGTAGTGAGCTTATAATATAGAAACTGAATCAAGGCACAATACGCATGTTTTTATGTATGTTTTATGTATGTTTTATGTATATTGGCTATTACAATCCTGGATTGATACTAATGACTGAATACAGTATTTAAGGACAAGTTTTTACTGGTAATGTGACAAGAGTGCTCATATACAGAAGAAATAAGTACATCAAATTAAACCAAGTTTAGCCGTAGTAAACTAGTTCACCTCTGAATTTATGTCTATAATCTCTATCAAAATCTGTAAGTTGAAATTATCATTCAATTTATCCATTAAATTAATACCATTAAAATAGAATAAATTTGAACAATAGCAATCTTACATGCAAGCATATCCTTTTGAAGATATTACCAAACACCCTATTATTATTTAATCAGTCAGTAGATTAATTAACTTTACTAGATAACTGTATCCAAGGAAATATTTTTTAGAGTAATAATGGATGAAGTTTGAAATTTCGTAAGCAAGCGTAGCCTTAACACTTAGTAAAGTTAATGCTATTTAGAGTAAATGAATCAATTACCATTGGGGTTCTTACGTGCATTGTAAATTAATTGTGATATTCAACAATGCAAGAGACAGCTTTCGAAATTTGAGTGAAAACTATTAAGCAGTATAACATAGCAACGAAATAGTGATGAAATGAATATTTGACCTGCTATCATTTACTCAGTCATTACAAAATCCTGCCACGGTGATTCGGTTGGACTAAAATAGATTTATTTCTGTATTACTTTCATTCTCTCACATATGTCGAGGATGTAACTTACTTATTATAGCCAAAAGATAATTTTTCATCGACACCTTTTAGTTGCTGTTATTCCTATTTTGGCAATTTTATTTCGTGCAATAAATTATTACACTAGCTCATCATGTAAAATATATAGTCCATTATATGCGGCAATACTGAAATACTTTCAACAACAACATCTCTATAAGCTATCTTACTAGGCAAACTTGTGTTGTAACAATATGATATTTTAATGCCGTCGACTTTACAGTATTTATGATCTAGTAGTTAATTTATTCAGTTATTTATAGAGCTTTAGGAGACATAGATGGTGCATTTATTATTTAATAATCACGATACAACCGAAATTGAAAGGGGTTACTTTAGTATGCTAGCCATATGGATAAGAGAAAATTTGAAGTGAAAATTAAAGGATTCTAATTAAAATGAGGTATTCATATCGAACTTGAAATTAGGAAAAAACGCCTCATCTAAGATAGTCAATCTAAAAAATAATTTTAGGGCTGGAAGTAAACTATGAAATTTCTATACATGTGTATAAGTAACTTCCTTCGTGTATATGGCAGTACGTACGATTACAATGCTATAGTATATTCTCTAACAATAGCGGCCGATATACAGCATTTTAGTATATCAAGTATTCTTTACTATCATTCTTAAAACCGCTACAAATTGAACATATAAGAATTGATAATTTGGAAATATACTAAGTAGGACAAGCTTTAATTTATTGGGGATATCCGTTTAAAATTAATTGTCTCGATAAATGCTAACTTTAGAGTTCATAGACTACAGTTGATGATCAACCTCGGGTAGCAATAATTATTATGGAATCGATCATATCAGCAATTCTTATGGGCGATTTTCGCAATACGAATACACTATAAAAAACGAGCAATAGTTGTTTTTTCATTTTATTTCGACTTACCAATACCATGCAGCGTTGAATTTGCCAGGAAAAGCGATATACTAAGACCATGGTTCAATCGAAATCGCTCGGAGATACAACAACTTAAAATATTTGGTAAGCTGAGAGATAAAATTATTCTACTAACAGTTTGCAATAACTGTAAAACTGTTTTCCCTGACGGTATCCCTGCTATTCTTAAATAGTGAAGGAAAAATCAATGATAAAACAGTTGCCTATTGTTAAGCGATAACGGTGAATCATTCATTCATTCATTTAATACCATTCGATTGCTTTACTAATGTACGTGCTTAAAATTTTATCTTACATTCAACTCATGAAATAATCCATTAATTAAATATCCTTATTCCCTTTACACTTTATGTTTACGTATGTCATTTATAAATGGTCACATTCAATTATTGTCGATTGACCTATTTGATATTTCAAGACATTCAAAATTTGTTTATTTAATGCAGTCGGCATATTTTTTGTATGTAACAGTTGCTTTATAATACTATATCATAGTCGCTAGAAATGATTTTATTTTTAACGTTATAATATTGTAATTTTGAGAAATGGATCGAATATTGAAATTAGTTCCGGTTTGTGACAATGGTAAACAGAATATTTTCCATGAGTTTGCAAGTTGACCGGTGGCATATGAAATACTTAGTATTGAAATCCGTATAAAATCTTATTATCATCATTTACACCCTTATAATATTGATTAATGAGTTAAGAATGGCATCATAGAGCAGTTATACTGTAAATTATCATAGTAAAAATTGATTTAAATGCGATGTAAGTGATTCAGCAATTATACAAATATTATCAAACAAGCCAGATGATCTTAGCTTGATAGATAATTAGAAATTTAAAAAAATGGACTTTAAAGCTAATTAGGACCATTGGTCTATGTATCCACCTTTGCCTTTATCATATGTCAGCTGCATATTTCTTGCTAGTACTGTATACTTCAAATATACTATCATTTTCTGCATATCATCTAAATGATGTGTGTTCTAGATATCAACAAGCTAACCAATCAAAATATTCATGGCAGATTAGCGTTATACATCAGCCCCATAAAATATCCAATTAGAATATTTAGCTTACGCTGCTTTAGCGCTTTATTAATAAAATATGATCACATTCCAAACGAAACCGATAAACGTTATTATCAATATTAGGACAACTAAAATTAATAATTCAATAAACTATTTTAGAACAGTACAAACAATGTTATTTTATAATATCAACGTCACTATATACGGTAATAAAATCTCATCGTCATACGTAGATTAAATAGCTATACTAAATATTTAATCTAAACTATGTATTATTAAAATCAATACGGCTTTAAAGATTGAATAGTCACAGCAAATGAATACCATAAAAAAGAGTATTGCAATATTTATTAGGCAAGGGTGATATTTCAGCTAGATACAGTACTGTAATATTGTTTCAATTGTATAGTGTATAAATTCTAATTCATTAATTTCAGTTATTGCGTAGAACATTGGTACAAGTCTCCCACTATGAACGTAACATAATATTAACTGAAAATTATCCATCTTCACGTAAATATAATTATTTTTTATTATCTCAAATATATTATCTCATAATTGAAAGGGATCTATTTTTTACATTTATTATAACAATACTTCGTTAATTTTAAATTTTTATAGAAGTTAATTATTTTAGGTAGATCATAGTTCACATTGATCTCTAAATAATTTTACCTAGATGATATTTACATTGAGTCTATTTTTGATATCTTGTTAATTATTTAGAATATACGATATACCTTGATAACCTCTATCTCAATATCCACCCGTATTATAGTCAAATAGAAGCTATCTCCGATTTTAAGGCGGATCTTTAATGTCGAGGCCAATATTGCCCATTGCACTTAATCGCTGTAGTATTATCAGCTCAAGTTTGTTTATAAATATTTTACAATAATGATTAAAGCAATTATTCAATTTATTCCGATACCTTTTTATTGTCCAATAAAGTTAACTGCTACTGTTTCGATAAATAAAAAGGCTGACTACTCGTCATAGCAACTTAAAGAGGAATTTTAAGATTGAGAATCCAGATATTATATCAGTAATATAGATTATCGTTGCATAAAACATAGGTAGTTAAATATGAATCAATCTTCAGAATAACTGAATTAACTAATTCATAAGAAAGCCATGAAAATTAGCTTGAAAGTCATCTTAAACGTTGTAGTTATTTTTAGCAACTTCTTTTTATGAAATCTTTCATCCAAAACTTATTACGTACGAATTAAATGGCATAAAATTAGCCATTATTAAAGCTAAATTTAAGATGGCCTTATACCACACTTAAATATGTCTACAACTTGAAAAGCATTTGAATTCATAGACATGCTAAATTTAGTTGACGCTAACTAATTAACAATAATACATAGAGTAGTGCGAACATAGATCCTTACTAGTAAACTATCTAACGTATTATCGATAGTTAATGTACGGTAATAATTATCTACTGAAAAACTTTTACAAAATAACAAGGATATAAAAGTATCAAATAAGGCATTCTAACATTTATGTTATAGACTAACTCACTCGGACAATACTACAGTAGTAATTGTTTCCTCTCGATATGATTTTGCCAAAAACCACGGTTTCAGAAACTATTTCGGCTTGTTTAATAGTTCTAATAGTTGTATTGCTCACATTTCAGAAGAATTACTAACTGATCTCTAGCAAAAGAAATTAAGACAATGGCTGAACGAAACGCTAATTCTAAAGCTAGAGGCATCATGGTTGTGAATTACATCATGTGAGCTTTGAGATGTAACTTCTACGGTTATATTTCGGCTTTAATTATATTTTATTTCTTTGATACTGCTTATTTAGAACAAAAACAAAATATTTCCAATAAATTTACTGCTGCAAATGCATAATAATAATCCCATAACAAAATAAATTATTGATGGATTTAGCTTGTCATTGCGGCTTAGCTAACGGAGATTATCAACTTTCGGCATCTTTAGAAGCTATATTTCGAACGCATATTATTACTGCATATCTGATTTCTAATCCATTTGATTTGCGCGTCATAATTCCTTAGTGAACTTTTGCACAAAATCTTGAGTGCGTGTAATGTGGTCGAAATTAGACTTTTATTCCCTTGGAAATGATATTTAATCTACGTATATAATACTTAAATTCCACAAAATTTTTTTCGTATTACGTAAAATGTCAGTTTAATATCAATAAATGACAGTTCAGAACTAATCAATAAGTCCTTCTATTTACACACTGAGTCATATTGATGTGTTTTAATTAATTAACGGCTTTAATGGAGCTTTTTCAGTATCTAATGAGAGTAACATCTTATAATTACTCATCAGAGTGAAATTAATCACATTACTTTAATTATTTCTATTTTCCCATTAATAAATAGGAATGCCTTCATTCTGATAATTTATTATCATATTGCAAAATTAAATAAGTTATGGTTTTCCGTAAACTATTGAAATTTTTCGTTTGTTTGCATGTTTAATGATCGCTATAGTCAGTACTGCAGTGAAACTTATTATCGATACATTCCAATTTTTAACACGAAGCAATTTCTTGAAAGAGTTTACTCTTTAGACATCTAACATGCAACATGTATTACTTATATATATACTTTACTATACGAAAGGGAAATTGCTACCGAAAAAGCTGCGAACTTCAGTGGTAAGGGAAAAAATGTATGTTAATTATTATTTCATAGTTTATATTATTTTCCTAGGCGTTTGCATTTCATTATCGTATAATTGTTTAGTATAAGATGAATTCATATAAATGATTGAAGGTACAATAAATTTTAATAGTTGAATTTTGCTATTCAGTTGTGCTTTCACATCAATGATTATAAATATGGTTACGTTTATAATGCGTAATAATCACAATATCATACTTGAGGACTGACAATGGGTAACTGTAAAGAGTATCATGACACGCTTCTAATTCATCTAGGCGAAACCCTTAATTGCATGAATATCTTTCTTCTTATTTCATGATAAAATATAAATCCTCTCACACGATGATTAATCCGGCTGTATTAGTTTGTGGTAGAATTTGAGATCTGTTGATTCTACAATGTTTAGAGAAGTTTAAATCATTATATGAATGCAGAAATGGCGTTACAGCACTATATCAAAATAGATTAATATCAGTATTTACTACTACTGGATTTACATTGTTATATTACCAAGCTTAAAACATATTTTAAACTTAGGATTCTACATGTAAGTTGAAGATTCCACTGCTGATGTAAATTGAATAACTTCCACCTCATTAAAAATCTAGAATGTTTTTACTTCTTGATTTAAATGGATCATGTATGCACTACTTAGCCATTTTTTTTAATTTTGACAGTCTGAATCTAATCCGAATTATTGAGCAATATAAAGAGTCTATATTCAAAAATAGTTTAATGATACTTATGCAATAATTTATTGAAATCTTACCGAAAAAACTCGTGATATTTGAACATCATCATCTGCAATATAGGAAAGAAGTAAAGTAATTTAATGATACGAGACCTTAAACATTAATAGGCATACCGTATTTAAACTCAGATATAATAAAGTATCCTAAAATTATATGAAACAAAAACTGGAAAGTGATCTCACATTCAGAATTACTGCAAAGAGGGGTATAATTTACACTATCTATATGAACGTATACACTTTGCAAATTTTCATCATTAATTGACAGTATTATTTGTATTACTTCTTTTCGATATAGCGGTGATCTAAATGCCTGTAACGGTCTATCACTGTTGGCTATACCAATTTTAAGTCTATTTTCAAATCTTTAAATATCACTACATAACTCTAAAGGTGCGGCAATTAATAGTAAATAATATAATCTAATGTATTGCCTATATTATATCGATGCCAGAATGTCTTCGATCCTGAAAGCAACTAATCATACTGTAATACAGTTCAGAGAGGTTTTTCTTACCATGATACATTACGCCGTCAATATTAGTTACACTTTTATCTGATGACTTCTCTATTGAACTAATTCCTCGTTTATTACCTTTCTGTAAAGTTAAGCAAGATAAAAATGAACGCTGGTTATACCTTTCCTATTACATCCTAGTAAGAACTGATCATGCAGTAGTAAATCTCTTAGGTTATTAATTTACATGAAGTCCCTTCATAGTAGAAATGACGGCTTCAGAGCTTATCTTTCCTTTCGATAGCTTACTAGTTAATCCAAGCTTTCTTTTGAGCAAAATTCTCACCTATAAAAGAATAGGTATTTTAAATATCAAATTAAACAGAAGATAATAAAATAACGATTTAGCATCTACTAAAATGATTGATAATCATGAAATAGCTTGATCAATCCTAAGAAAATTTTTAATTTTATCCTTGTAACTGTTATATCGAAAATGAGCATCCCAAATACTTAGGATCACCATGCAGAAAATTAAAAATTTTATCGCTACTATAGCTAAAGTGCTAAAGATGTTCATTAATAATGCCTGGGCCATGCAGATACCGAGTGTTTTAGTTTATGTCTTCTCATAGCCACTTATTAATCTACTTGATATTATTTTTATATATAGCTAACGTGATATATATATATATATATTAATCTACCTCGGAGTTCCATAAACAGTGGCAAACGAAAAATAGCAAGCCCTGGAATATACAAGAAAGAATGAATCGCCGATTGAAATATTGTACTTAAAATATAGATAATAAACAAAACGCGATTACAATTATCCATCCGGAATCAGCAAGCGTAAATGTCACTATTCACCTGTAATCCATTTAAGATGACAAAAATATAACTAAAAATGATAGACTGATCATTCGTAGACAAGATTCCAAATATCCATGTAAGACCAAGGATAGGTAGTAATATCAGTAAAGCTTTTGAAATGGTCCTAGGCTCAAAAGTAAAACAATTAGAAATTTACGCTTATTCTCTGAATTTGCTCTTTTAATTACTTTCTTATTTCTCTCTTAATATTTATGAGTCTGTCATTTATAAATCTGAAAATTAATGATACATGCACAGGAATATGATTAATTTTAGCTATAAGTAAATTTAGAGATTTTTACGTATTTACTTTGCTTGCTTCTTAGTACTGCCTGTATCGTTTTGATGAATTTTAGCTTTATTGAATGTAACTTTGATTATTAACACCATGACCACGAAGTTTACCTAGAAATAATGATTGTATCAAATTAATAATCAGTACTGGGAATAAATTAAAAAAAATTAATACTATTTCTATTAGTATTTATTCTACGGCCTACTTGACTGCTAGAAACGGTAAAAGGTGGCACTTACAGCTATAACAAATAGAGCTGGGCCAGTAAATGCCCAAATCATTCCATTATTGAGGGATAACCAGCATCTTGATTAAAGCAAGAGATGGTTGAAATTATTATCAGTTCATTGCATATATATTTCAAAAAATTTCATCTTTATATACAGTAACAAATTAAAACAATCCAACTTTACTATTTCACTTACATTTGATTAAGCCCGTAGTATTTATGCCCTAAACCTACAGCTGTTCCTACAATTACTGCAGGAGCACCTGTAATAGCAAAATATACTCAAATATGCGTTGCATTTTGCTCACATTAGATATTAAAACCTTTTCTTATCAAATCATTATCGGTTATAATTTATTAAATACCATTCCTTACCCCAGCCTAAGATATAATATAGTTTAAGCCTTGACTTTGTATTAAATACTGATATAATTTGAAAATATAAATGTAGTGCTTCCATTAACATCCATGAAAACATTGCTAGGAGGAAATAGTGCAAGCCAATAGCGACTACTTTACAGATTACCTATAAAATCAAAATAAATATTCATGAAGTATAATTACTAGTCCCATCTTCTAAGCATATTGAAGTAGACCGATTTTATTGCAGTAAAGTATTGGTATTGAAATACATTTGATGTACTTTATTATAAAGTAAAGCAAGAATTAAAATATTTTTGAATAGTGCTAGATTGGAATGCAAGTAACTGCACCGCAAATTCTTCTTTAAATTTTAAAGCAATGGATATTACAATAACTTCATTGATGCTACTACAGAACATTACGCATGAAATGATTACAATCTCTGAAACTGAAAGTAAACAGAAATATTGCAATCTTTGACTAATTTTTCGCTATTTTTCATGCGCAGCAATATATTCGTATAATAGGAAATTTTCAATTTTTTACTAACCGGATTTTGTTTGACAAAATCCCATCCGCCTAATAGGATACCAATCTGAGATATTAGCATCGTAAATGCTAGATTTGTATGAATTTGGAAGCGATCAGAACTAATTCTGAAATGAACAGAAAACAGACGAAAATTTTACAGCAGGGTTTGATAAATAATTAAGTTAAATAGGTCAACAATTAAATGTCGAAAACTTATTATTCTCCTATTAATTCTGTAGATCTAGTATTTCTTACAATCCTTAAAAAATCATGATACCATTACAGATATAAATATTCTATATCCTGTTGTTACAGTGTTAAATACTGTATTACAGTAGAAATAACTATGTTAGGATAATTCTGTTAGACTATCCTTATTTAGTTAACTTCTAATTTGGATATACTGTATTTTAATATAGCACTGACTTTTTATGACAGTGACACTTATACACATACTGAAATTATAATAGTTATAATAGGGAATGCAAATCATCTGCTTACAGTTCGAATCATTGTGATTGTAATTTACTTATGATAGACTGTAAATTATCATGGAAATGTTCCGTGATAGGACATATCGTAATCTGACTATTCTGTATTAGTTATTACATGTCTATGTTCGTAAATACTGTTGTCTGCATTAAGAGAGCAGTAGCTAAAATTAATATCTAATTCAGTAAATGATTCTAATGTTAATTGTATTAACTATGACTCATGAACTATTGAGGAATAGTATATAAATGCAGTATATCGTGAAATAAAGAAGAATTGTCCAACTTAGTGTTTAACGTAAAATACGAGGCGTTTAAGTCTTTGTGTAGTCTGCTAGTAGAGCAAAAGTGCTCGTGATAGTGCAGATATCATTCCTTGATACGTAGTTCAAGGAATTGACTTATTGATCGTAGATTACGTTATCTTGTTGCAAAGCTGTTTTGTGACACCTGTTTTCGATTATAAATGAGAGTAGATTTGCTTGGATCGTTCCGATTACTACTGCTGATGTTGTTCATGTGTGTTTTAGCTATTTTTATGGAGTCATTTTCTGTTGACTAAAGTTCATAAGGCAATTAATACTTAGATCTAGCAATTCTTAATTGCTTCGTACTAAATAATTGAACTGTGCTGTTTCGACCTTATTATATGCGAGGGGTGCTAAGTGTCTTTGGAAGAGATGTATTGAAAATAAGTTTTCTCAATTTTAAAATGAGTTTTTGGCTAATATCAGCTGGATCTTAATTTATAGCACTAAATGATTCGTATACGAGATCAAAAAAGGCTATCATATGATGTTTCTATCATTTTGCAAGTAATTGTAATTGTAAAAATTTTATAATAAACTGACAGAGAACTTACTGTATAAGAGAGAATATCATCATCGATACGATTAGCGAAGCAATCGAAATCCCACAACAGACATATGATAATAAATCGAGAATAACTTGATGCTGAGCTGAAATCTATGGTAAATTTAATATATATATTAGAAAATACGTTTAAACAATCCCGTACAAGCTTTGTAGCCTATCACAACTTTTATAAAAAATCTCTTAATAAGTAATTTTAATATTAAAGTACCGTAATAATGCTATAGCTATTATTAGGCGTAGGTAGTGTATTCATTAATTCTAGCTTACTGAAAACTTATGGTAAATCATTTTACCAATATTTTTAAGATTACAGTTTAGAAATTTGAAAGAAAACTAATACTATAAATCTCTTCTATCACTGACTACTTCTATAGTCTCATACTTTCGTAGTCATCACTACAATCCGTATTGGTATGGTGCTTATAGCATAAAACATGACTCTCCAGGGCATTATCAATAAAATAACATTTATATCAAACAACATAAGTATAATTGGTCAAATTTAATCAAAACAGTGAAAATTTCATTTCTCTTACTGGAATGGACGAAACTCGCATTAATATAGCAAAATGGGTTAGATGACTGCATCGACATCGAGTATGAGTCTTATTCGTCATATCAACGCTGCATCCATGATTAGACCAATTACCAGTTTTTCCTCTAGATCCACATTTAAATGAATATGAGAAAATCATAAACCCGTAGCGATAATTGAGAATCTAGAACCTTAGATCTAGTCACATATGTGTAATGTAACTAGTATTATGATTGTAGACTATTAGCCATGTTTAGTATAATGTACGGTAGATATTTATCCTAAGAGATATTTGGTAGCTATAACTATAGACTGTTGTGGTAGAGGCTCTATGCTAGAGTACAGATGACTATATATAGTAAGGTGTTGAGTTACTAATAAGGCTATCGGTAAAAATAGAACTGTAAATCATATATTAGGATATGGTTAATTCATTGTACTTTGGCTGGTGTGAATAATGTCTACAAAGTACTGTAGTCGTATCCATATCGGATTAATGATGGTCCGCAGTAGAACAGTCTTTCTAAGAATAATTTAACTATGTGTAATATAAGGTAAAAGGTTGCCATGCGGATTGTAGCTGCGAATGCTACGAAAAGTATAAAAGCATGCAACTTTATATTATTCTGTTAGTTCGTTGTAGAAGTCTTTAGTAGTAGTATTCGGCTAGAGTAGAGCTGTATGTAATTAATCTTTGTATAAGATCCAATAAAGCCCTTATTTTTCTAAAATTTGGAATTTCGCGATCGCTATATATCACAATATGTTATGAATGAATTACGACAGAAAGAGTTTAAACAAAGTACTAAATCTATTTAAATGCATACTCCGAATTTCCCACATTGAAATCCCAATATACGCAATCGGCTTGATAGTTGGAGTTGTAACTTGACTAATAGCAACATATTAGCATGAATTTATAGTTTAACGATCAAATTTCATAGGATAAACTGAATGTAAGAATCCGCAATTCTAATCAATAAAATCTTAGACTTACGTTATTATGAGTAACCCAAAAGACAAATTGATTTCTTTGACTTAATTGTGGCTTGGGACTTACGCGACAGCCAATAATCAAAGAATTGACAAAATCTTGCAATGAATTTGTAGTAACGCTAAATTTTGACAATCTCTCAATTAATTATGTTGCATTTATGTCTCATTATGTTATCAATAACAAATTGGAAGAAATGCCAGTTTATTGTATTTAAAGGTAATATCAAAAATAAACTAACCTGGATGATACGGAAGACAGCTTCCCACCTGTTACATCTTGTAAGGATTTAAAAATAGTGACGGCTATCACAACATCATCTACTAGGAGATATTTCATAGCAATCAAAACCAAAATATCGCGGCTCTCGAAATTTATAGACTCTATTATGTAATTATTATTCGAACAGACAGATTGTGTGTCGAATACTCAGATAGGATCAATTTATCTTTTACCGGCTTGATTAGCTAATGGAGTCGGGGGTAAATTTAAATAGTAGTGTGATTTCAAATTAGAATTTGGAAACTTTTCAGCTGTGGCTACGTATCCGTTAGATCGATACTGACTAGCTTGATATTTATTAACTCGGATAGCTAAAATGAAGAAATTATGAATTAAATAAGTTCATCCAGTCATTTCTAACCACCAGGTGGCACTAAAAATAAAACATTAAATTTAATCCCATCCTAGACTATTAATCCAATTTTTTACTGCGAGCATTAGTTAATTAAATGGGTTCCGTCAGCTATTTCTACCCATCAAGTAGCAAATAAAACAAAATATTAAATCTAATCTTAATCTGAGCTATCTATCAAAATTTTTGTCACTAGTAATCGCAAAATTTACTCATAGGTACTATTTATATATGGATACGTTAATGTAGAAATGAAAGAATAAAGCAGCACTAAAATAAGATGACTAATCAATCTAAATTAACATTGTTTGTTACTATATTTATATTTCGTCAATCAATAAGAAAAACAAAGCAATTGAAACGAAATACTTTAAATCTCCTTAATTGTCAAACGAATATACTGACTTAAATCCTTTGAATTGAATTGATAGGAGTCACCAGGAGCTAATGTACGTCCAGCTTGTTCTGCTATGCCATCTGTGATATTAAGGATATCAGAAACGATAGGAATTTTCTAAATTGGATGAAATAAATCAAACATATTAACAACTTAAAATCTGAAAATAAGCTATCTTGTATACTTGATTATAGCTATTTTCGTTCTGAATCAAAAACATTTATATCGATAGCTAACGCCAAATTACTGCTAATATTAAGACAGAAAATCAAATTTTTAGATATAGTACAACAAATTAAAATATATTTATTATATTGACTACCATATAAATGCTCAACAATAATCTTTCACGATGACATGAGTACCTACTTTAAATGAATGAAAATCATATTGACAGTAGACTATTAACTACGGTTGTAATATAACTGAAAAATGAATGTAGTACAATCGGAACTATTGATAGCCCAGTAACCTTCTCGTACTTGACAGTGCCATGTAAAATCTAGTATCATATCAAAATGCTAGAAATTACCTTACTAACTTCTGCCCAAGCAGCCGATTTACTTTTGGATGTTAATTGGCCTACTGCGCTAAAATATGCCTAGTAGCGAAAATTTAATCCTAACTCTGATCAGTTAATGGTCTCTTCATATGAATACTCTGGCAAGTAATGAATAGGCTTTAATTCACTAAAACATTAGTTTTAAATATTTTTTTTATCATAAAATGTAACCTGAAAATATGTCGAATGATTTGTAGTTGCCTTCATGTCTACATTTTGACTTAATTGCAGCAAAGCAAGTCTAGAAACTGCCAAATCATCCGCTTTAATTTGTTTGTCTGTATTTAGCACACCGGTTAAATTGGTTAATAGGTTAGTTGCTTGCTCAGCCGAAGTGTTAATGGGTGCAGATAATAACTACGAAAAATTAATTTATGGTTAGCACAAGTTATGAGTTGATTTTTTAATATATTAGCTGCCATGTATGTATTTTATTGATAGATAAATGACAAATGTATGTATACATAGTGTAGACTCTTACTTGATCGTATAAATTATGAAATGTTGTAGATAAATTTTTAACGTGAATCGCTGCATCCGTTGGAGTAGTTTCGAAGATGGTTGTGGCTTTAATCGGTGGATCACTCGTTGCAATATCATAAAAATTTGAAGACTTTGTTACAGTGCTTAATTTGCTTGAAGAAAGACCTAATGGAATGCGAAGAATTGCAGGATATGAATAGGCCAAAGTGCAGTAGATTAGCAGTGCTCGTTAGAACAGTCCACCGTTTTACTCTCATCAATTTATCTAGTCGAATTCTAGCTTATAGTAAAGCAATCATATAAATTCACCGTATAAATGATAAGTAGACTATTCTACCGAGACTAGATACTACTTTACATCTCTTCACTATTGTTCTAGTTAGCCTGCTATGGATTTAGCCGTATTTATTGAAAATAATGATCATTGTCATCTTACCTATTTCCGGCTTAGAGGTTTCTCTATATAAATTGTGTACATTTGTACTCGTCTGATATGGATTAAACTTTCCTGTTGATGTTGTTACCAAAATATCAGCCGTCGCTGATTGGCTCTCACTAATTAAGCTTGAAATCGGCGAGGAAGATTCTATCGAGTGTAATGATAAATTACTTACGTAAATCAATGAAGTAGAATGCATTACAGCAGACAGCGAAGGAAACTCTATCTGCGAGTGTGATGATGATAGCACTGAAACATTGCTTGATTTCTCTGACAAAGCATTATAATCAGATTTGGATGACTCTGTAAGTAAACCAGTACTTAGGGTAAGCACTCCAGCCGGAGATAGAATTCCACTGCTCGTTTCCGAGAAATACGAGCTACCAAATGGAAAATATATCGAGCTACTAAAATTTAAATTTAACACTTGGCCATTGACATAGGAAGATGCAGTAAAACTTATATCAGAATTATTGGTCAGACTTGAAATACTGGTACTGGTAACTTCTTGGTCACTTATTGAACTCGAAGATACTTCTTCATTTGAAAATGATCATATATTAATAGGAATTAATAAGACAATATTGATGAAATCAGTAAATGACTAATAATCTTATCAAAAACTCAGAGAGTTATTGGTACAAGAAGAGACTTAAGTTCTAGGATTACAACCGTACATAATTTCTACATTATCCTATAAATCATCTCTTAATGTAGGGCTTGGCTTAAAATGCGGTACTTACCGGTTGCGGAAATTTGTTTAAAGAGCACATTTGATGAATTATTTGATAAATTTGGCTCTGTAATTAGCAATAGAACGAAAATCTTATCAATTACCGTTGACCGCTCTTAACTAGAAACTTTATATTCCAATAATATCACAAAGCATTTTGTAATCTCCTAGCCTGAGTATGAAGCTTATCAAATAGAAATAAAAAAAGAACAGAATTAAATTTTATCAATTTAAATGCAAGATTATGTTATCGAAAAATATCTGCGTGATCATCTCTAATTGTAATAGTCTTGAAGACGATAAACTACCTCATTGAAAGTATTTCTATTTCGAAATAACAGCCATTAATAAGCAAAATGAAACAATTTAAATAGTTTTAGTGTCTTTTTCAGACGGTAAAGTTTTCATTTGGTTGCTTATATGCTGAAAACTAATATTTATGTTATCTAGGCCGCAAGCGCTCTAAGCACTCAAAATAGAATAAAATACCGAGATACCGCTGAACTTAAACTACACTGGATGTATAGCACATGGTTAATATATGTAGAATAAAGTATAATGTCTAACTAAGTGGTTAAGTAAGATGAATTAATTAGTACTGTAATATAGTTATAAATTTTCATATAGGCTCATTTTCATAAGTCATGAATGAATGTCACTACCGCTATATTTCCTATGTGTTAATAAAACGAATCCTATAGACCAGAGAAATTATACCGAAACCTATGCACTGAAAGAATATTTCTGTCATTCCATTATAGCGCTACTAAAATAAAAGAATTAGTAATACTTTATAAATTTTCACATACGGTTGCTTTCAGCGCTCATGAATGAAAGTCAAATAAATATCGCTACTAACTTATTTTTTATGTACTGATAAAATCAACGCTATAGAATAAAAGAATTATACTATAATCTCAATATGGAAAGAAAAGCATCTTCAATCCTTTATTGTACTATATAGCATAATTTAATAGCTTTAATATACCCTCACAAAGGCTAGATTTTATTCTTTCTAAATGTCCAAAAATATCCAGAAGATTATTTCGCATAGCATATTTAAGCTTTGAGGGTTTTATTCTATTTTCATGTTATAGAAATAGTAGTAACGTAAATTACCATTAAAAGTCCTTAATCCTATGAAATTTACCGATTTGACATAGGACATTAATTTCATCCAGACAGTGTGTTAATATAAAGTTCCAGAACCCATTTTTATATTCCATTGCTGCACAATGGTGAGACGGTGGGAAGGATTGCAGATCATACCAGTAGGTAATATTGCTAAAACGCTCTTTGTCGACAACCCATCTCCAGCCATCATCTGGGTCAGAATTTGTTAATCGAGCTCCAATCCAATAAGTAAATTCCTCTTGTAAGTATAAAGAGGAAGCATGAAATTTTTCTGGACTATCCAACTTTGCTAGATCACCTCCAATATCAAGACACTCATTTCTAGCTTTCGGAAAGTTGAAAATTTCATCTAAATGTGGTCCATAGCATAAAGATTCGTAAAAGGTAAAGTTTTCGGGACAGACCATATTCGTATTATTTAAGACTGGCGTTTGAGCTGCATTAACGAAACAGGAAAAATGACCTTAAATGTTCTCCCTAACATAGTTTACAAATACCATTACCTATTGCTCCTTTAATCCAAATGGTACTTATACGCTCGTACTTAGTAATTGATTTATAGTAATGAAGAGGTATCTTAATGATTCGGGTGTCACAATCGAAATCAAATTGATTTTCAATTTTGTTTAATTTCTATGCTCGTACTTATGATACCTTAGTGATTCGTATGTCATGATCAAATCAAATCTATTTTCAACTTTGCCTAATAGCTATACTGGTAATAACAATATCCTAATGATTCGTAAGTCACGATCGAATCAGTTTTCAACTTTACCTAATTGCTATACTCATACCCATGATATTTAATGATTCTGATGGCATTGTCAAAATAAATCAATTTTCAACCTTATCTAATTGCTATACTTCTACTTACACAGGTATACTAATAAATAACGTAAAATTAATGCTAATAACTTATATTAATCTAAATTAAAAGCATTAGAATAAAACTAAGTAGCAATAGCAAACTTTTTGCCTTGTTTTTCTGTATAAGTAATCTAAATTAAGATAGCGTTTACTATTGCCTTGTAATTTTTAAGGACAATCTTAAGATGAAAGCCATCTAACAGGGATAATTCCAAAAACTCAGTACTAATAATAAAATCGTCAGTTTTGGAATTTGTATTCAAACCGTGAAAAGATGCGCATGAAGTATAATAAATTAATACATTTGGAAAGAAAAATACTGAACTCGTACAGTCAAATTAGAATGATATTAATAGCATCGAATTATACTTATATTCTTTGCATGGCATACGAAAGATATCCTAAAAATTATCTACATACGGAGCAAGCACTGTTTTCTTTCTACTGTCTAAATACTAATGTAATTAGTAACTAAGAGATTTGCTGTCCTAAAGTATGAATATAAAGGAATATTTATATGCTATAATATCTACAAATATGCTGGTGTGGTGGTATACGAATAATTAGCAATTTAATTCACGCAAATTTTGGCAGCAATTGTGTTATTCTATATAAAAACGAATCTGAAACTCATAACGGAATAGGATAATCGGTAGACATACTCATCATCTAAGTCTTAAATTGATACTACAATACCCTGAGAATACTTTAAGTAATGTTGAAATTATACGTACGGTATCCTGTACGTTTTAATCATTTACTGTAATTAAAAGTAATGCGAATTTCTGACTTTTACATGTACCGTAATGAAATAATGTCATTTTGCAGTTAATTTAGAACAATCTTTTAATCTAATAGTAAAAATTTGCAAATATATAAGTATTACCAATAGATATACATGTATCATTTGCGATAAATTATCATGATAGTAATATTAGATGATTGCTAATTACTAAATTAGAAACTATTGGTTACTAACATTTAGCTAGTTATCTGAGTATGTTAAATAGATCCATATTATTTGACGTACTATCATTGAGAAGATTGCCTGCACTTTACGGCGGTTGGACAATTATGCGAGGATAATGAGATTTTAAGCTGACTGATTCATACTGTAAAATATTAATGATCTATACTATAAAATATTGATGATCTATTTGAAAAGTTTCCTATTTGATGACTCGATTCTGATTATAGGCAACTTTGTTGCCCTATATAGATTAAATGAAATATATTTAAGAAGTGCAGTTATGAGCTTGGAAAATAGACTTCACTTCTTTCGAGCTCAGGACACTTTAGATTAAATTCTTGTTTTATTTGCTATTACTCAACCATTATTAACTTTGCAATGAAAGCTTTTTTAAAATTTCTTCCAGCGTAAGACAATTATTATGTGAGAATTATACTAGATTAGATGGAATAGCTGTAAATACTTTTATTGCAGTTTGTATTACGAAGATTACTCTTTCTACATATTGCTAATAAATACATGTGTAGAATCTTAAATACGCGCACTAACACCACTAAAACAGGTAATGATCGATCTCTAAAGCTATCTATCAATCGTAGAATCCAAAACATGTAATAATTCTAGCAAATTGATCAAATTCAAGTGAAGTGAAGTAAACGAGATCTTACAAATGGTGTAATATTAATTTTCTAGCCATTTCTAACATCAGTAGAATCTTTTGATATCGCTACTTACTAACGTTTCAGTGAACTGATCTCCAGTAGTAATGTCATTCTATCTACGACGTTCAATATAGTCAATTTATACTTTACAGCCACTGAACAATGTGACCATGACAAACATTACCCCATCAGCTCTAGAAGATCATGCTTTATAATTAATCCTGATCTAGATCATATTGTTGTATATGCAATCACTTTACTAACCTAAAAAGGATATTTATACAGTGTTGAGTACATACCTGTAGTAAAGCCTTCATTCCAAACCCAGTACACACCAATATACTGTAAAATAATTATAAGAGATACAGTTCTCCTCAGAAAAATTAAATTGGAATAACAGAAAAGGCAGCATCAAGACTATTTCCCTTTATTCTAGTTCAGTTTTATCCTCCAACGGATTCATGTAAACAAATTTATATAAATTCTAACGATTCTACAAGATTTTACCTTACTAAAGGAATTTAGCAACTGATAGTTTAATTTATAACAAAGGAGTGGTAATCTCGCTAGAGTATAAAATCAATGATGAAATCAAATTACAACTGAGTGTCCATTTTAGTATAACTACAGCAGAGGCATCACATCGTATAATATCGATATTTTTACGGTCGCAAAGGACAGATAGACCAAGATGACTATCGAAAATTTCTCTAAATTCCGTACTTAGTTGTATATTGAATTTTTGAGCTTGAGTAGCAAAAGTTATCGAATGTATTGACACTAACACAGAAGTTTTTAAATTTATAAAAAAATTACTTCCAAAATACCCATGAAAGCTATCCAATCTTCGATTAAGAGTTTACTGTACGCAGTAAAGTTTGTTATAACTAAACTAAACTAGATATATAATCATTAGGATTGATCTAGCATAGAAACACTGATCATCATCATTATTAGCGTGGTAATGACGACAAATCATCACAGTAACTCAATTGTAGATATGAAAAATAGTTATTGCAAGTTATGAATAAACTAAACATTTATGGTAAGGCAATCTGAACCTTTCTTATAATCATAAATTTTCAGCAACGATAGTGCATTATTGTAGCTTACCATAATGACGAAATAAAGACGGTTAACCATTTTGAGAGAGAAAGATCTAAAAACTAGAATGGCACTTGAAATTTGAAGTATTATTATTAAAAATTGACAGTCTGTCAAATGATGCCTGAAATTCTAGCTAAAAAGCCACTTAATTGGTTACTCTTAGCGTAATTGAAAAAAATTCTAAACAGCTTTTAATAAGGCAAGATCGATTTTCACCAGAATGATTAATAATATTCCTTGAATATACATTGTCCTAATCAGATTGTATAACAATTATGATTGAATAGATTGTTAATTCTAGTTAATTATTTATACCCATTGCCAAATGGAGATCTATTCTTGGTAATATATTTCTTTCTAAAACAGTAACAAAGACGATAAATTAATTAAATTTTTATTTGTTTACTGATATGACAGTCTCGACAGATACTAGTTATAATAGAACCTAACAGAGGTCTGTTTAAATCGTTAATTCATAAATTCCCTTACACTCATTTTTAACAATAGTTCTTTCTAAATTTTCAGTTTCAAAGACGATTTACTTCAGAAAATTAAGTCAGAAATACAACTTGAGTTCATTTGTACAAATATCTTAGAGAGAATATTTGACTTTTTGAGCGATCAGCATCACTGTAACTAGCTTAGCAAATCTAGATATTTGCTAGTCCACACGTGTGATAAGCATGACCTAGTAAAAATGCTATAACACTATTATTTTATCCTTTATTGGGATTTCCTAATTTTTCTCCATTTAAATGAAACAATTGATTGATGGTTAAATGGAAACTTTGTCCTGGGTTATTACTATTTAATTGTCACAAAACAGCTATGCAACAAGATAACGTAATGTACGATTAATAAGTCATTTCCTTGAACCATGTATCAAGGAACGATATCTGTACTATCAGAAACACTTTTGCTGTACTAGCAGACTACACAAAGACTTAAACGTCTCGTATTTTACCTTTAACACTAAGTTTGAGAATCGGCTTTATTACATGATATATAGAACTGCATTTATATGCTCTTCCTCAATAGTTCATGAGTCATAATTAGTACGATTAACTTTGGAATCATTTTCTGAATTAGATATTAATTTTAGCTACTGCTCCCTTAATGCAGACAACAGTATTTACGAACATAGACATCTGATGACTAATACAGAATAGTCAGATTACGATATGTCCTATCACGGAATATTTCCTCGATAATTTACAATCTACCATGAGTAAGTTACAATCACAATGATTCGAACTGTAAGTAGATGATTTGCATTCCTTATTATAACTATTAATTTCAGTATGTGTACATGTTTCACTGTCATAAAAAGTCAGAGCTATATTAAAACACAGTATATCCAAATTAGAAGTTAACTAAATAAGGATAGGCTAACAGAATTATCCTAACATAGATATCTCTACTCTAATACAGTATATAACACTGTCACATTAATATTATACATATAAGAATGAATTCATAACCTCATGATTACTGAAGGCTGTATAATAAACAAATATTTTCGGAATCATCCAGTTGGTAGATTAATAAAAATCTAAGCTAAAATTTTATATGATCAGATAGAAGTATAGATTTTATTCTATAGCTTCAGATGTCGCAGTACAGCGATAATAATATTACTCTAGTTTTTCATTAGCAATTTTAGGACTCATATTATTACTATTGAATGGAAAGAGTGGTTAAATAAAGGATAAGCAAGGTAAAATAAAATTAATAACGAAATGAAAACTTTCATCCAACGAAATTCGTATTTGTTTACATGATCAATAATTAATTACCGTAA